GTTTTTTAATTTCCTTTTTGTATTATCTGTCTATTCATTCATTTATTTATTCTGCACTCGGAGGAGAAGAACGGGTTTTGGTCGGCACTGGTGGAATAGGCCTATGCTTAGTGAGCGTTAAGTCCCTTTTTTAGCTTGTTTTTTCTTTCCTTCTTTCTTTCTTTTTTATTTTCTGTTTATCTATCTGAGGATTTTTGATTTTTGTTCTTGAGTTTATGGGCTCTCTCTTTCTAATTCTCTCTTTCTCTCTTTCTAATTCTCTCTTTCTCTCTTTCTAATTCTCTCTTTCTCTCTTTCTAATTCTCTCTTTCTCTCTTTCTAATTCTCTCTTTCTCTCTTTCTAATTCTCTCTTTCTCTCTTTCTAATTCTCTCTTTCTCTCCTTCTAATTCCCTCTTTCTCTCTTTCTAATTCTCTCTTTCTCTCTTTCTAATTCTCTCTTTCTCTCCTTCTAATTTCCTCTTTCTCTCTTTCTAATTCTCTCTTTCTCTCTAATTCTTTCTTTCTATAATTCTCTCTCTTTCTCTCCTTCTAATTCTCTCTTTCTCTCTTTCTAATTCTCTCTTTCTCTCTCTTTCTAATTCTCCCTTTCTCTCTCTCTTTCTAATTCTCTAATTCCTCCCTTCCCCCCCCAGACTGCACGGCTCCTACGAGGCCCTGAAGGGAGGCACAACCTGCGTTCCCTGATTCTTCTAATTCTCTCTTTCTAATTCTCTCTTTCTTTTCTAATTCTCCCTTTCTCTCTTTCTAATTCTCTCTTTCTTTTCTAATTCTCCCTTTCTCTCTTTCTAATTCTCCCTTTCTCTCTCTCTTTCTAATTCTCTCTTCCTCTCTTTCTAATTCTCTCTTTCTCTCTCTTTCTAATTCTCTCTTTCTCTCTTTCTAATTCTCCCTTTCTCTCTCTCTTTCTAATTCTCTAATTCCTCCCTTCCCCCCCCAGACTGCACGGCTCCTACGAGGCCCTGAAGGGAGGCACAACCTGCGTTCCCGGATTCTTCTAATTCTCTCTTTCTCTCTTTCTAATTCTCTCTTTCTCTCTTTCTAATTCTCCCTTTCTCTCTCTCTTTCTAATTCTCTAATTCCTCCCTTCCCCCCCCAGACTGCACGGCTCCTACGAGGCCCTGAAGGGAGGCACAACCTGCGAGGCGATGGAGGACTTCACCGGCGGCGTCTCGGAGATCTACGACCTGACCAAGGCGCCCCCGAACCTCTTCAACATCATGCTGAAGGCCTACGAGAGGGGGTCGCTCATGGGGTGCTCGCTGGAGGTACGAGAGGGAGAGAGGAAGAGGATGATAAAGAGAGGGAGAGAGAGAGATAGAACAAGAGAGAGAGAGAGAGAGAGAGAGAGAGAGAGAGAGAGAGAGAGAGAGAGAGAGAGAGAGAGACCTGACCAAGGCGCCCCCGAACCTCTTCAACATCATGCTGAAGGCCTACGAGAGGGGGTCGCTCATGGGGTGCTCGCTGGAGGTACGAGAGGGAGAGAGGGTGATAAAGAGAGGAAGAGAGAGATGATAAAAGAGAGAGAGAGAGAGAGAGAGACCTGACCAAGGCGCCCCCGAACCTCTTCAACATCATGCTGAAGGCCTACGAGAGGGGGTCGCTCATGGGGTGCTCGCTGGAGGTATGGGGGAGATAAAGAGAGATTTAGAGAGATGATAAAAGAGAGAGAGAGAGAGAGAGACCTGACCAAGGCGCCCCCGAACCTCTTCAACATCATGCTGAAGGCCTACGAGAGGGGATCGCTCATGGGGTGCTCGCTGGAGGTATGGGAGGGAGAGATAAAGAGAGATAGAGAGAGATGATAAGAGAGATAGAGGGAGAGAGAAGATAAGAAGAGAGAGAGCAAGATAGAGAGAGAGAGAGACACAGGGATAGAGAGAGATATAGAGCTAGAGAACAGAGAGATAAAGAGAGCTAGAGAACAAGAGAGAGAGAGAGATAAAGAGAGCTAGAGAACAAGAGAGAGAGGGAGGGAGGGAGATAGAGATAAAGAATGATAAAGAGAGAGAGAGAGAGACCTGACCAAGGCGCCCCCTAACCTCTTCAACATCATGCTGAAGGCCTACGAGAGGGGGTCGCTCATGGGGTGCTCGCTGGAGGTATGGGGGAGATAAAGAGAGATAGAGAGAGATGATAAAAGAGAGACAGATAGAGAGAAGATAAGAGAGAGAGCAATATATGAAGAGAGAGAGACACAGGGATAGAGAGATAAAGAGAGCTAGAGAACAAGAGAGAGAGAGAGATAAAGAGAGCTAGAGAACAAGAGAGAGAGAGATAAAGAGAGCTAGAGAACAAGAGAGAGAGGGAGGGAGGGAGATAGAGATAAAGAGTGATAAAGAGAGAGCAAGAGAGAGAGAGGGAGACCTGACCAAGGCGCCCCCGAACCTCTTCAACATCATGCTGAAGGCCTACGAGAGGGGGTCGCTCATGGGGTGCTCACTGGAGGTACGAGAGGGAGAGTGGGTGATAAAGAGAGGAAGAGAGAGAGAGAGAGAGAGAGAGAGAGAGAGAGAGAGACCTGACCAAGGCGCCCCCGAACCTCTTCAACATCATGCTGAAGGCCTACGAGAGGGGGTCGCTCATGGGGTGCTCGCTGGAGGTACGAGAGGGAGAGAGGGAGGGTGATAAAGAGGGAGGGAGATAACAAGAGGAAAAGAGAGGGAGGGAGATAACGAGAAGAAGAGAGAGGGAGCTAGAGAGAGAGGAAGGGAGAGAGAGATAAAGAGAGATAGAGAGGGAGGGAGATAACGAGAAGAAGAGAGAGGGAGCTAGAGAGAGAGGAAGGGAGAGAGAGATAAAGAGAGATAGAGAGGGAGGGAGATAACGAGAAGAAGAGAGAGGGAGCTAGAGAGAGAGGAAGGGAGAGAGAGATAAAGAGAGATAGAGAGGGAGGGAGATAACGAGAAGAAGAGAGAGGGAGCTAGAGAGAGAGGAAGGGAGAGAGAGATAAAGAGAGAGAGAGAGGGAGGGAGCTAGAGAGAGAGGAAGGGAGAGAGAGATAAAGAGAGATAGAGAGAGAGAGAACAAGAGAGAGAGAGAGGGGCTTGCTCATGAGATGCTCCTTGGAGTTATGGGGGGAAGGGAGAGGGAGATAAAGAGAGAGAGAGAGATAAAGAGAGAGAGAGAATCAGACAGAAAAAGAGAAAGAGCAAGAGAGAGTGTGTGTATGTGTATGTGTATGTGTGTGTAAGTATGTGTTTCTGTGTATATATGTATGTACGTAAATATGTCAATCTAAATCAGTTTATGAATATGTAAATTTATATATAATTGAGGAAGTTGCTCTAAGGAATTAACACTTCTATAGATTCAATTTTTTTTTTTTTTCATACAGTGCTAATGCAAATCGAAAATTAAAAAAAAAAGTTATGTGATTTAAAGCCATTTTTCTCTTCATTTTATCCATCTCATATTATTATTATTATTATTATTATTATTTCCACTTTCTCATTCTTCTCTCATACTTTTAATTCTCCTGTTCTCTCTCCTTCCCTGATTCTTCCTTCTCCTTCCCCCTCCTTCTTCTCCCTCCTCCCTCCTTCTCCCTCCTTCTCCCTCTCATTCTCTCCACCTCCTTCTTCCTCTCATTCTTCTATTAAATCTCCCTCTTATTCTCCCTCATTCCCCCCCTCCTTCTCCCTCCTTCTTCCTCTCATTCTTCTATTAAATCTCCCTCTTATTCTCCCTCATTCCCCCCCTCCTTCTCCCTCCTTCTTCCTCTCATTCTTCTATTAAATCTCCCTCTTATTCTCCCTCATTCCCCCCCTCCTTCTCCCTCCTTCTTCCTCTCACTCTCCCCTTACTCTTCCCTCATTCTTCTCCCTCCTTCTTCCTCTCACTCTCCCCTTACTCTTCCCTCATTCTTCTCCCTCCTTCTTCCTCTCACTCTCCCCTTACTCTTCCCTCATTCTTCTCCCTCCTTCTTCCTCTCACTCTCCCCTTACTCTTCCCTCATTCTTCTCCCTCCTTCTTCCTCTCACTCTCCCCTTACTCTTCCCTCATTCTTCTCCCTCCTTCTTCCTCTCACTCTCCCCTTACTCTTCCTTCATTCTTCCTCTCACTCTCCCCTTACTCTTCCCTCATTCTTCTCCCTCCTTCTTCCTCTCACTCTCCCCTTACTCTTCCCTCATTCTTCTCCCTCCTTCTTCCTCTCACTCTCCCCTTACTCTTCCTTCATTCTTCCTCTCACTCTCCCCTTACTCTTCCCTCATTCTTCTCCCTCCTTCTTCCTCTCACTCTCCCCCTTACTCTTCCCTCATTCTTCTCCCTCCTTCTTCCTCTCACTCTCCCCTTACTCTTCCCTCCTTCTTCCTCTCACTCTCCCCTTACTCTTCCTTCATTCTTCTCCCTCCTTCTTCCTCTCACTCTCCCCTTACTCTTCCTTCATTCTTCTCCCTCCTTCTTCCTCTCACTCTCCCCTTACTCTTCCCTCATTCTTCTCCCTCCTTCTTCCTCTCACTCTCCCCCTTACTCTTCCCTCCTTCTTCCTCTCACTCTCCCCTTACTCTTCCCTCATTCTTCTCCCTCCTTCTTCCTCTCACTCTCCCCTTACTCTTCCTTCATTCTTCTCCCTCCTTTCTCTCACTCTCCCCTTACTCTTCCCTCATTCTTCTCCCTCCTTCTTCCTCTCATTCTTCTATTAAATCTCCCTCTTATTCTCCCTCATTCCCCCCCTCCTTCTCCCTCCTTCTTCCTCTCACTCTCCCCTTACTCTTCCCTCATTCTTCTCCCTCCTTCTTCCTCTCATTCTTCTATTAAATCTCCCTCTTATTCTCCCTCATTCCCCCCCTCCTTCTCCCTCCTTCTTCCTCTCACTCTCCCCTTACTCTTCCCTCATTCTTCTCCCTCCTTCTTCCTCTCACTCTCCCCTTACTCTTCCCCTTCCTTCCTTTCCGCAGCCCGACCCCAACGAGGTGGAAGCCCGCTGCAACAACGGCCTGGTCCCTCTTATTCTTTCTCATTCTTCTATTCATTTTTTCTCGTTCTGTTAACTCTCCCTCCTTCTCTCCCTCTATTTCTTCCCTCCTTCCTCCTTATTTCTTCCCTCCTTCCTCCTTCTCTCCCTCTATTTCTTCCCTCCTTCCTTCTCTCATTCTCTCTCATTCTCCTATTCATTCTTTCTCGTTCTGTTAACTCTCCCTCGTTCTCCTTCCTCCTTTTTTCATATTTTCCAATTAATTCTTTCTCGTTCTTTTCACTCTCCCTTCTTCTCCCATTCATTCTTTCTTGTTCTTCTCTCGTATTCTCCAATTCTTTCTCGTTCTTTTAATTCTCCCTTCTTCTCCCATTCATTCTTTCTTGTTCTTCTCTCGTATTCTCCAATTCTTTCTCGTTCTTTTCACTCTCCCTTCTTCTCCTATGCACTCTTTCTTGTTCTTCTCTCGTATTCTCCAATTCTTTCTCGTTCTTTTAATTCTCCCTTCTTCTCCCATTCATTCTTTCTTGTTCTTCTTTCGTATTCTCCAATTTATTCTTTCTATTTTTCCTTTCCGCAGCCCGACCCCAACGAGGTGGAAGCCCGCTGCAACAACGGCCTGGTTCCTCTCATTCTCTCTTATTCTCCTATTCATTCTTTCTCGTTCTGTTAACTCTCCCTCCTTCTCTCCCTCTATTTCTTCGCTCCTTCCTCCTTCTCTCCCTCTATTTCTTCCCTCCTTCCTCCTTCTCTCCCTCTATTTCTTCCCTCCTTCCTCCTTCTCTCCCTCTATTTCTTCGCTCCTTCCTCCTTCTCTCCCTCTATTTCTTCGCTCCTTCCTCCTTCTCTCCCTCTATTTCTTCCCTCCTTCTTCCTTCTCTCATTCTTTAATTAATTCTCCTTACTTTTCCTTCCGCAGCCCGACCCCAACGAGGTGGAATCCTGGTTCCTCTTATTCTCTCTTATTCTCCTATTCATTCTTTCTCGTTCTGTTAACTCTCCCTCGTTCTCCTTCCTCCTTTTTTCGTATTCTCCAATTAATTCTTTCTCGTTCTTTTAATTCTCCCTTCTTCTCCTATGCATTCTTTCTTGTTCTTCTCTCGTATTCTCCAATTCTTTCTCGTTCTTTTAATTCTCCCTTCTTCTCCTATGCATTCTCTCTTCTTCCTTCTCTCATTCTTTAATTAATTCTCCTTACTTTTCCTTTCCGCAGCCCGACCCCAACGAGGTGGAAGCCCGCTGCAACAACGGCCTGGTCCGCGGCCACGCCTACTCCCTCACCCGCATCAAGTACTGCGAGATCGAGACCCCCCGCGTCTCGGGCAAGATCCCCCTCGTCAGGATCCGCAACCCCTGGGGTAACGAAGCCGAGTGGCTGGGGGCCTGGAGCGACAAGAGCCAGGAGTGGCAGTTCATCCCCGACGAGGAGAAGGAGGAGATGGGGCTGACCTTCGAGCACGACGGAGAGTTCTGGATGTCATGGAAGGTGAGGAAGAGAGGGATAAGGAGATAAATAGAGGGAGAGAGGGATAAAGAGAGAGAAAGAGAGGGAGACAGAAGGAGAAGGAGGGATAAATAGAGGGAAAGAGAGATATGAAGAGAGAGAGAAAGGATGTGAGAGGGAGAGAGGGAAGAAGAGAGAGAAGGAGAGATAAATAGAGAGAGAGAGAGAGAGAAATAGAGAGAGAGAGAGAGAGAGAGAGAGAGAGAGACAGAGAGAGACAAGAGCCAGGAGTGGCAGTTCATCCCAGACGAGGAGGAGGAGGAGATGGGACTGACCTTCGAGCACGACGGCGAGTTCTGGATGTCATGGAAGGTGAGGAAGAGAGGGATAAGGGGATAAATAGAGGGAGAGAGGGATAAATAGAGAGAAAGAGAGGGAGACAGAAGGAGAAGGAGGGATAAATAGAGGGAAAGAGAGATATGAAGAGAGAGAAAGGATGTGAGAGGGAGAGAGGGATGAAGAGAGAGAAGGAGAGATAAATAGAGAGAGAGAGAGAGAGAGAGAGAGAGAGAGAGAGAGAGAGAGAGAGAGACAAGAGCCAGGAGTGGCAGTTCATCCCCGACAAGGAGAAGGAGGAGATGGGACTGACCTTCGAGCACGGCGAGTTCTGGATGTCATGGAAGGTGAGGAAGAGAGAGATAAGGGGATAAATAGAGGAAGAGAGGGATAAGGAGATAAATAGAGGGAGAGAGGGATAAAGAGAGAGAGGGAGAGAGAAGGATGAAGGAGGGATAAATAGAGAGAGAGAGAGAGAAGGATGAAGGAGAGATAAATAGAGGGAAAGAGAGATATGAAGAGAGAGAAAGGACGTGAGAGGGAGAGAGGGATGAAGAGAGAGAAGGAGAGATAAAGAGAGAGAGAGAGAGAGAGAGAGAGAGAGAGAGAGAGAGAGAGAGAGAGAGAGAGAGAGACAAGAGCCAGGAGTGGCAGTTCATCCCAGACGAGGAGGAGGAGATGGGACTGACCTTCGAGCACGACGGAGAGTTCTGGATGTCATGGAAGGTGAGGAAGAGAGAGATAAGGAGATAAATAGAGGGAGAGAGGGATAAGGGGATAAATAGAGGGAGAGAGGGATAAAG